ACACACACACACACACACACACACACACACACACACACACACACACACACACACACACACACACACACACACACACACACACACACACACACACACACACACACACACACACACACACACACACACACACACACACACACACACATGAGAACCTCGCGGGGATAGTCAGGGAAGCTAGCTTCCTGTGAACTTCAAACGTCAAGATCTGATGAGAATTCGATTTTTGCAAAACGGGATGAAAACAATAACTTTCCGATTTTTGAAAATCTTCGATTTTCTTAGCGGGAAGTTAAAAATTTAATCAAAATCGATTCATTTGTTCGAGAAATATCAATCGATCTGGAAATCAGATTAATTTATCTCGTTTTCTTATGACCTAAAGTTTTTAGATTGAATGAAAATATTATCTTTCATCAAGATCAAAAATAGGCTGATATCTATATATTTAAGCTCTAATAACTTTTCTTAACGTCTAGTCTCTTGATTGATATCAAATTTTCATTCTCACTATAAATAATTATTATTCTTTTTACGAAAAATCATAGAATTTTTCCATTAAAGGGAGTTGAAAGTCGCGTGTCTTTTGTATAGTTAGTTGATTGGCCACAAAGATAAAGGGCAAACTCTGAAAAGAGGGTTGAAAAAGAAATAGAAGAAACTACACATAGAATTGGAACGCTACCCATTGGTAAAGGGAAAGCTCACTAAACTTATACGATAGTAAATAGAGTCTAATCAACTGCGAGACATTCTTCCTTTCTCTGCACTGCATTTATTTTCTCTTTCTTTTTCTAACGATAGAAATTCCTCTCGTCTGGATTTCAGCGCACGCGGAATTGTACAACCCCATTGTCGAAATTCTATAAGATAATCACATACTCATAAAATACCCTTCTGTGTATATTGAATTGACTATTTCGATCATACATTTGAAGTGGAATAAAAAATGATACAAATTTGAATGGTGATAACAATAAAATTTCATCGACAAAATAATTGCAAAATTTATTTGAATCGATTGATTAAAGGTAGATATATCATGACATATAGTTTATAAGGGGTGAATTTTTTCAACGTTCACCCCTATTGAGTAAGGTTGACTAACTTCGATCATTATTACTCAAATAGTTTTAGAGAAAATCTTGAAGACCTTTGACCCTGCAGATACCTTTGAGAATTTACCACTATTTCGATTTCAAGAAGATTGAAAGTTCTTGAACTTTTTGATAATATAAAAGAGAAGAATTCGAAAAATTATTCCACATAAGAATTTGAAATTTATTGTTAAGAAATACATTTTTATTCCCAACCTGATTAAAAAAACTAATTTGAAGTGATTAAAATCAACTTCAAAATAATTTGAGTTGACTAATATACAGATGTTCAGTTTGCATGGATTGAATAATTTCAAATTAAATTTATTAATCAGAGCAATCACGCAATATAATATTGAATACCAGAAACGCAAAAAATTTAATATTTCGTTTTTCAAATTGTATTTGAATCTATTTCGTTTGTTGAATGCTGTAAGAATGTGTACCAAAATCAAGATAAAACATTAATTCACAATAGTAATTTTAAAGTTAATTTATGGATAAATTCATGAAAAAATTGATTTTCAAAAATGGACTGCTTAGCGAAATTTCAAATAATAGAATTTAGTCATTAACTTTTGACTAACTCTGATTACTTTTCATAAACACTATCAATTAATGAGATTCTTTCAAACGTCCCGTTTCGAAAATGGATAAGTTAGTCATTTCGGTCAGATATTTGGAAGTCATGTTTTTATCGGATCTCGGCATCTTGAAAACTTAGGATGCTATTTCGAATATTTTTACGATGGTATGCACGCGTGAGTTTGTCCGAGTCGAAAAACAAATTAGTATTTGACCCTAGAAATTTTCGATAAGGATTTGATTTTATGGGTCAGCTCAAAATTCGTCGATTAGATTCAGTATAGAAAGTAATGTCATGCAGTTTGTTCGTCAAAATCTTACCTACTGGCGGTTTTAGAACTTTGAGGTTCTAATTGAGATAACAGAATAACATTATACATTTGTTACGTCCCGGTTACCTCACGGGTTGGTAAGTAACCACTAAAACAACTAGAGCTGGAGATAAAGATGTTACGACCTCCAGAGTCGTAAGTAGATGTTCTCGAATTACCTCCGAAATAACTAACTTCGGTGAATTTAATTAACAAATAAATTTATTTGACTATTTAAAATACACTTTAAATTTATATGATTTGACAACTGCCGTGAAGTACGTAGTGGTATTTCGTAATCGGAATTAATAGCTATTATTTTGAAGACTATAGTCTTTAGAGATTTTGATTGGATTAGCGCCGATCGGCGTAGTTTCTCAAGTTTAAGGGCCGAGTAGTTTTCTAAGTTGATCGATCGAGCCGTTTAAAAGATATTCCAAAAAAACCACTTTCAAAAATGATTTTTTTCTAATTTCTTTGAGATTTTTAAACATTTCTCAAAATCTATCGGTCCGAATCGGTTCAAATTCTCAGGAAATCTAAGTTTGAGGGAACTCTTTAGAACGCCGTTTAGTTCGTTCCGATCGGTTCAGTCGTTCAAAAGTTATAAGCGAGTCACATACTCACATAGTCACTCACACACAAACACAAACTTACACACACACACATACACACACACACACACACACACACACACACACACACACACACACACACACACACACACACACACACACACACACACACCTGAGATATGACACAAAGGACGGTCCGAAAGAGTACGAAATCACCGGAGGTGTTCCGCAGGGCTCTGTTCTTGGCCCACTGCTGTGGAATATCATGTATGACGGGCTCCTAAGGCTAAAGATCCCGAGGAATATTAAACTTGTAGCGTATGCGGACGACGTGGCCGTAGTGATTGTCGCTAAACACCTGGATGAGATTCACCACATGTTTGATCTAGCATTCCAGCAAGTAAACCAGTGGATGGACACAATGAATCTCCAACTGGCGAAACATAAGACTGAGGCAGTGCGTATTACCAGCAGAAAAGCGTTAGAGACCATCAAGCTTAAAGTCGGAGAACAAGAAATCACATCACAACCATATATCCGATATCTGGGAGTGATGCTTGATGCCCGACTCAACTTTAAGCAGCAAGTCGAACACGTGAGTGCAAAAGCATCAGCAGTGGTAGCCAGCTTAGCACGACTGATGCCAAACGTCGGAGGCCCAAAGCAGAGCAGAAGACTAATACTATCATCTGTAGTCACATCAGTGCTCACTTACAGAATATCTATCTGGGCGGACGCACTAGAAAAGCAAAGAGGTAAACCATATAAAATATATGTCTATATATC